GGACTATGTATTTTTCCCACTTATAAAGAATGTGATCGAAAGCCATTCCTCTAGCAATTTAATTATATAAGACAATTGAAAAGATTTTCTGACCCAATTCATTCTTATGAATCAATTTGTTTTAATCTAAAACAGTGCTTAGACTATATTTTTCAGGTTTTCAGATATTCCTAGAGGCACCACTCAGTGGATATGTAAGTGCCCGATATTCCATTAATTTTAGATGCTGCTTGTGCTGCTCCCATGGGTGAAAGTGAATGGAGCTCATATTGCAGTGTCAATTCTTTTTCTAATATAAAAAAATATCAGTCTCAGGTAATTCCAGTGATGCTAACAACATGACATGCGCTAGAATCAAAGAGTGGAAAATGATCTTTCTCTAGGCTGCAAAATTGCATAATTTTGTTTTTATATTTTTATATACTTATTCACAATAAATTTTAAAAGTTATTTGGATTTCCTGTTTATATAAGATACATTGATTTACTTTAGAAATGCTGACACAGAAAAGAAACAGAAACCAAAGGGACACCAGAAGATGTACACTGATACAAATTCAGAAAAGGAACTACACAACACAGAATTTCAGCAGTTTCTTGAAAGGTAAATATGTCGATATTTAAAACTGTTGTTTTCCATTTGATTGTGACACATATGGTTTTTAGTGGCCTGGCATGGCTGTTGTTCTGCTGGTGTAAGTTAGTAAATGGAATGAGAAAAAGTGAGAAGAAGCTCAATTCTGGTCTTGAAGGCAACTTTGTTGTCACAAGAACTGATTAGCTTACCTTGATGCTAGCCAGGCCATGCTGGGGAAAGATGTAGAGATTGCAGCCCCATTGGCCCAGACTATAGGTGTTGGGGATCTATAGCCCAGATAGGACACCTGCCTCCTCAGTTGCTGGGTATCTAACCTAAAATTGGAAAGAGAGAAGCAGAGGAGAGAAAAAGTCTATACGTGGTGAACAGAGTGGCTGAAGAGACAAGTTGGAGAGAGAAATTAAGCATGGAGAGCAACCATTGATTCCTGCTCTGCAAGGGAGAAGTAAGGTCCCTGAATGGTTTCCTGGAAAAAGGGAAGTGAAGACCCAGACGAATAATGATCCACCCAAGATGGTAACAATGAACCTGGAGGACAACAGGTAGCCTATTCACATAAGACCCAAGATGGGAAGGAAGAGATTCTCATACATTGGCGAAGCCATGGTCTCTGGGGAAGGACTGGGCAAAAGACCCTAAGAGAGGTTCTTCCCTCAGTGGAGAAGCAGTAGGTGTTTGGTTCAGCAGATCAAGGAGAAAGTCAAGCTGTGGTAAGCACTCTACAGTATAAATCCAGTCCATTCCTTTCTTTTCACTCTCTTTTTTCTTCATAAGTCCCCCAAAAGGGGGAGGAAGCAAGGTTGCTCAAAGAAGATGGTTTCTAGGAGGGAGACTTAGGAAAAAATCTAACACCAAGATTGTATTGTACATACCTGTTGTAAATAGCTTCACTGTAAATAGTAAAAAGCATAAAAACCTCCACTGTTGTGTTTTCTGTCTGTCAACCTTGCAAAGCAAAATATACCTCAAGTCCCTGTGACATTGTGTCATTGATATTCACCATTAATATATTAGAATGATGAGGGACCATTGTTGTTGTTAGTTGCGAAGTCATGTCCGACCCATCGTGACCCCATGGACAACGTTCCTCCAGGCCTTCCTGTCCTCTACCATCTTCTAGAGTCCATTTAAGCTCACGCCTACTGCTTCAGTGACTCCATCCAGCCACCTCATTCTTTGTCGTCCCATTCTTCTATTGCCCTCAATCTTTCCCAGCATTAGGCTCTTCTCCAGTGAGTCCTTCCTTCTCATTAGGTGGTCAAAGTACTTGAGTTTCAACTTCAGGATCTGGCCTTCTAAAGATCAGTAAGGATTGATCTCCTCTAGGACTGACTGGTTTGATCGCCTTGCAGTCCAGGGGACTTGCAGGAGTCTTCTCCAGCACCATAGTTCAAAGGCCTCAATTCTTTTGCGTTCAGCCTTTCTTATGGTCCAACTTTCACAGCCATACATTGCAACTGGGAAAACCATGGCCTTGACTATACATACTTTTGTTGAGGGACCATTACAATTGTTTAATTTCATTTACCGAATAGGCTATCCAAGTTTTTATCTTTGTTGCTTGTCATTTATTCAATGTTATCAGATTTCATTGCACATTTAGAGATTTGAAAGTCAGTCAATGATGCTTGAAATATAAGCTTAGGTTGTCCCAAATGTGCTTTTTTCAAGAGGCAACTGGACTTCCTTTGTTTTTTCTTAAAGACATTTTGTTTCTCACCCAAGAAGCTTCTTCAGTTCTGAAGAAGCTTCTTGGATGTGAAATATGAACCATAACCTGGATGACTGAGAATCTACATAGACATAAATGTAGGTCACTTCTACACATAGCCATTGTTCTATTGTTCTCTCCAACTAACCAAAATAAAAATGCCCCCCCCCCAAAAATAAATATTCAATCAATGGCCCATATTCTTGTTCATTTTTATAATTTGTTAAATATTGCACAGTCTGGGTTATTTACATATTCCTTACTTAGGAATTTTCTGAAATATGCCAGCAATTGTAATAAGGGGGACCTACAAAGCAATTATAAAGGCATTATACTGCATTTTTAAATATATATATAAAGGGTATGGCTAACTGATGAAGGCAAAAAAAAAAAAGCCAGAAATGGTCCATCTTAGTCTCCCAATTTAATTCTTTACTCTTTGTCAGAAAAAAGAAATTTGGATATAAAATTTTTTCGCAGTTGCGACTTGAGCCTGCTCTATGCCCCTAGTTGGGGGCGGCAAGGCAAAAGATATTGTAAAAAGAGTAAACTGCAGTATGGCAGTTGAAAATGTCAAGGTGTTCACAATCAGACCAATCTGTCTGAACTCCCTATAATTACTCCCTTGACTCTGCTGGCAAAGAGGGGAAGAGAACCTGTGGCTCAGTGGCTAAATCACTGACTAGTATGTATAACTGCCCAGGTTCAAATCCCATAAAGGGTATGGCTAACTGATGAAGGCAAAAAAAGCCTGGAAGGTGAACCCTTAAAGAGAGAGGAGAGTCTGGCCTAAGCCTAAATCCTGGGAGGTGAAATAAGGTTGTATTTGCAGTCGAGGTCACCATGATAAGTCAATACTCTGATCTTCCAACTCTTGTTTAGATTTTAATTTCCCATCTGTATTCAGAATATCCTTATATGTTAAGATTTTCTCAGATTTAACTACATTTGGGTGCACAAATTATTCCATCATTGATAGCCATCCTGGGATTTTCATATAGATTTTTGGTTTTATTTTTTCCCATACAGATAATAGTGCATTTCTTATATAGTGGTTTTGGAAATATCTATGGATTTTATTCTTTTCATACCATAGAAATGTGTGCCATCCATGTTGCAAGTCATGTCCTTCTAAATATAACAATTTTTTATTTCTTAGAGTTATCCATTCTTTTAGCCATGTTATAGCACATGCTTGGTAGTATAAGACCCAAATCCTCCGTTATCTTTAGCTTCTTGTAGCATTTTCCGTTTAATTCTAGCTTTTCTTCCTTGCCAAATGAATTTCGAGATCAGTGTATATAGATCATCAGAAAACTTCTTTTCTATTTTTATAGGTACTGTTTGGAATAGAAAGAGGAGTTTTGGTAAAATATTCATTTTTACGGTAGCTATTCTTCCTAACACTAATAGTTGTAAATTTTTCCATTTTTCCAAATCTAATTTTATTTGATTTAGTAATTTTATATAATTATCTTCTTTTATCTTTGCATATCTTGCTGTTAAGTATATTCCCAAATATTTAACTTTCTTAACTATTTGTAAGTATATTTTCTCTGACAGTTTTTTTTTTGCTTATCTGTAAGGTTTTTAACTATAACTTTGGTTTTTTTCTCTGTTTATCTTCAATCCTGCTACTTCTCCAAATTCTTCTATCTTTTTCAATAGTTTAGAAGTTGCCTCCAACTGTTCTTCTAGAATAAATACCAGGTCATCCGCAAACGCTTGTAGTTTGTAGCTTTCATCTTTTATCTTCATTCCTTTAATTTCTGCATCTTGTCTGATATTTCTATTGAGAACTTCCAAGATTAGTATAAATAACAAAGGCATTATACTGCATTTTTTAAACAACTTGTGTAAAAGCATGGAGGGTGAACCTTAAAGAGAGAGAAGAGTCTGACCTAAGCCTAAGTCCTGGGAGGTGAAATAAGATGAACGTCCCACCAACAGGAACTGGCACTCTCATTCTGCTTGAGGGTGTTCATAATTTCCCATCATCCTCAAGTTCAGGTCCAAAGAAATGAATCAGTTTAGCTGCAAATCGTATGGAATTACAGAGTGATTTGGGAGTATCCAATGTGTATACAAAGTCCTCCCAAGCTTTTTAGTCCCTCCATCAAGGTATCATGCAAATGCCACCTATTTTTACCTCTGCCTGCTACGGCAACAATGGCAACTTCTTATTAATTGACAACTCTTAGCCACAGTAAGATGTCTGCATAAGTACAGAATGGAAAAATGGGCTTGTATTAAAATGCAGCTGTTAAATATGGCAGTACAGCTTTAGAAGCAAGAGTCACGTAGAAAGTATCAACATCTTCAGTGTTTATTCACAAAGAAATGGTACCATTTGGCGGAAGAGCAAATGCTCTTTGAAACTGTGTTGTTCATTCTGCAAGGATTGTACAGTTGAGGGATTACTAGTCTTGGAATTGCTCCCTGTGGATGAGAGGTCTGTTCCCAGACCTGAAACTATTTTCGCTTTAACAGAATAAGGGCTCCCTTGAGATGTTTGGACTTATGGTTCTTAAGTTCGGAAAAGGGTGAGTTACCCTTTGGATATAACAGTGCTAGGTTAATTGATATTTCTAATGAGGAGTACAGTTATCCTGATGCAACATTCCATTTCTACTCCATCAAGTGTTGAAGACTTAATGCAAACATTACACGCATGCTTTCCTTTGTTAAAAAGGTGTACCACAGCGCTGAATTTGCCCTTTGCTGCAAGGAGGCTGTTCACTGAAAAAGGAGTGGAACTCTTTGTTTTGAAAGACTTGGAGAAGGATCAGCTGGTAAGAAAAATAAAAAAAAAATGTATTTGCCAATACTTTCTTCAAAAAATATTTTTCCAATAAAATTAGTATGGTTTAAATTTCCTGTCTTTCATTCAATCCATGTATTGGAATATTTAGGCTTACTTCCTTCTGTTTGGTTCCCATCATTTGGGCACAATTACCGGCAAACAAGTCAGCAAAATCTAGTTATATTATGCCAGCAGATGGCCATTAGAATGGATTTTTAAAATAACAACTAGTTTTCTATATTAAATCAAAATCAGGTCAGAAGGGTTACAGAATAATCTGGCATAGAACTGCAGTAAGGAATTAGCTGGTGCAAGGATCTGTGCTGTTGTTTAACTTTAGGTAATGTAATGGATCTCAGGTCGTGGTTTGGAACCTTTAATGAAGTAAAAGGGATGCTTATACAGGTCTACCTGTACTATTTTTATACTTTTTTTTCTTGATATCCATTCCAGTTGTGGGACTCAGCCGGCAGAACTGGTAGCTAATTTTTTGTTGCTCAGGCCCAGAATGCACTTCTGGAAGCGGCATCCACGCAGAGAACCGGTTGTTCACATATTTGAATCCCACCACTGACCCATTCCATGGTTGCCTCAGTACCTCAGCAAATTTATTTCAGTATTTATTGTATTAAAATTTAGCTCAGGCACTGTTATACTATTACCCACAAATTCATAGTTTTTATTGACTATAACCCTTAACAAAAAAAAGAAAAGAAAAATGAATTATCTGTCCCTGTATTTATTTTGTCACTTGTTACTTCAGAGATTTATACTATGGTTTCATGTATTTTCTTGTATTTTAATGCAAATAAAGTTTTGCTGATCTGTATACTGTCTGGGAAATTTATTTTACTTTTTGCTGAGGAGTTGGAATAATGTTTTGCAAATTTCTGTTCAGGAAGGCAAACTTATTTTTCATTTTCACTTGCATTATGCTCAACTACTAGTAGACTTTCCATGTGGATCTTCTGCAGAAGACTTATAGACTATTTAGCTTTAAAGTATTGTCAATACAGTAAGATAATTGTGGCAAGCCTGGCCTTTTAGTAAGAACTTGGGCTTGTGTTAAATAATTTACAGGATAATTTTGGGAAAGGCACTATTGCATATTATTGCATTAATAAGAATGTTTGTTACTATGTTATAAAAATACAATTATATATTCTGTAGAAATACATATTGAATCTGTGAGCAGATTTGAATTCATGCATCAGAAAAGAAAATGCATGAATTTATTTTTAAAAATGAAATGTGAATGTGAACCACATTTAGTTCTCATTTTTTAAAAACAGCTTTACATATCATGTGGAGAGCAATGGATTGATCCGCAGTGGACTACAGCTCAGCACAAGAAACGTCTCCAATGTAATAATTTAGCATCTGATATAATGGCTATGCGTGCATACTGTGTCATGAGGAACCCAAAAAGTGAGCACATTACTTTCTATGCTTTGTTAAAAAGACTGTATATAATGACAGCTAGCTAATATTAGGCATTTATCACCTGAATGGAAATCATTGGCTGACCCCTTTGTCCCATGTTGGGTTTCATATGAGTCATGCTTGGAATCAGGGAATTATAATGTCAAAGAATAATGCATTATGCAAGTCCACCAGAAAACATGAGGAATTTAAACGTTTTCCCCCCATCACACTATAAAAAGAGAACAGACAGATCAATGGATCTGGTAGCATATATTCGCAGTAAATGGAAAGAAAGTTGTGCTTTGGAGTACACACAGTCTCCTTCAATTTGTCCAAAAATAACCTGGTATCCCATGACTCTTGTTCCAGGCTTTTCACTGACTCTTTCCTTATTGGCCAGGTAGGCACTGTCAGTGAGATATGGTCCATGCTTCCAGATTCTGTTATGGAAAGCCTTACTTTTTAAATTACTTTTTCATTGCTGATTTTTTTTCCCATCTAACAGCTAAGTAAACAAGATAGCAAACTCAATGGTGTTTTCATGACCCACTTGATTAGATGGAATTAGAATAATCCTTTTGAAAACTGGGTCTGTTTTAGGCAAAATATAACTTCCATGGAAATTAGATCAATAGTTCAGTTTACAATACTCCCTTTTTTGGTATTCAGTGATCCAGGAAATAGGTGTGGGTGTTTATAGGTTAAAGGTTTAAAAATGTTCTTTATTTTTTGCTGGAAATCTGATTTTAGATTACATTTTTATAAATTATTTATGATAGAAAACTCATCTGTAACTTGTTTTAAATAAGTTTGAATTCATTTTCCAGATTTTGTTTTGCAAGCCAAGAATGACATTGTTGTTGGTGCTAAACTTTCTGTTGCAAGAGCTTTAGTGGAATTTGAAGAAAAAAAAGGTGTCGAAGAGCCAGAGAAAGAAAAATGTGAAAAAAGCATTGAAAAAATAAAAGATGACACAGATAAATATCTGTAAGTGGTCCAAAGTAATACCTTCAATTTTTTTTTTTACAAGATTTCAGAAACTGTTTACGTTGCCTTCTTCCTGGGGCTGAGAAAAAGTGACTAACCCAAAATTATCCAGCTGGCTTGGTGCCTCAGCAGGAGTAAAATTCATGGTCTTGACTCCTTAACCATTACACCAAACTGGCCCTCATAATAGTGAACAGCTCTACTAAATATAATCAAGACATATGAAATCAAGGTGTTCTTTCTTCCTCTAATCAAGCTGACTGGGAAAAAGAATTAGAATGCACAGAATCACAATACACAATACACCTCATGTGTCCTCACATGATGCATTATTAATCTGTGGAATTCACAGTGATGGCCACCAACTTGCATAGCTCTAAAATGGATGAGATAAATTAATCAAGAATAGGTTTATTGATTACTATTAGCCTTGACGTTCTGGGTTGAATACAGCATTAGTATACCTCTGAATACCAGAGAACAATAGCAGAAGAGGGGTGTATGTCTATTTCCTGCCTGCTGAGACCCCAGAGGCATCTGGTTAGCCATGTAAGAAACAAATTTCTGGTTTAAGATGGGCTATTATGTTCTTAATGGGATTTTAAATAGCCTCACCTCAGCACTGTTCAATGTTACAAATTATCTCCCACTTATATTTAGCACCCACATTTTTTTTTTTAAAAAAAGTAAGATCGCTCAAAGTCAAAAGCCACCAGTGGAAGTAGAATAGCTTTAACTAAAATAAAAATAAATGGAATGGCTTGAACTTCTAGATCTGCCTGCTGGAAGGTTTTCTGAGGGAAAAGACATGTCATTTTTATGTGCTGAGAGAATATTTTCTTAGAAGGCAAGCGTATCTGTTGTGTTGACTGTGTATTTTCATATTCAGAGATATATCCTGATGCAACAGTATACGATCTGCTGTTTCACTTTCTTGTAATTTTCTGTAAAACAGTTTTGTGATGCATTCTGTTAGGAACTAGTATATCTCTTACCACATAAATTAGAAACATTTTGTTCTTTATTCAACATTGAAATTATCTTCTTTTTCAAATGATATTTGTATTTTATAGATTGCACATAAATATAAATGCTCCATGTATTCATTTTTATTATGACTCCATGAGAGAAATGCACTTTATATGATGAAACTTTTGTTGTTCATGATTGGTACAATCTGTTTGGCCAAAGTTCACAAAGAGAATGAAAGCCGGAATGTATATGCATTTTGAAGAATGATTGATTAACTTACCAGCACCTCCTTGCCCACTTTCTGTTATTGTTTGTGCACCGCCACAGTGGAAGAATGCTGAAAGTGGAAAGTAGAATACTAATGAAAATACCAGTATATTGATATATTGCATTAATTCTATTGCACAATAGATGGCACTGTTGTTTTCTAAAATATTAAAAAAGTTCCCCAGTATTAGAAACAATCCTTCTAGAAATGCTATGCCATTTCTAACTTATAGAGAGTATTTGCTATCTTAGATATATTAATACCAGGTCTATATATAATACTTCACTGAAGATGAACTATTCATTTTGGTGTCAATAGTATATAACATATTATCTTGATCTAATAATTCTAATCTAATCTAATAAAATTCGACCTTCGTGTGTGTGTGTGTGTGTGTGTGTGTGTGTGTGTGTGTGTGTGTGTGTATACTGCTTTAACATACTCTATTGGGATGCTTTTAAAAACAACTTGGAAGCTGCAAATAGTCCAGAGTGCAGCTAACAGTGTAAACATTAAAACCTGGCCTTGGGAGCACATTATACTTGTACTAGAGGTCCTGCATTGGCTATCAATAAGATACTGTACACAAGTTAAAAGTGCTAATTCTAACCTATAAACCCTTCTATGGCTTGGCACCAGTTATCTTCAGGCTGCACTTGCCGCCTAGAATAGGCCCAGTTTACATAATTTTGGGGGGAGAAACAGCTTGGGAGACGAGGGGGTCAAGGCCAGGAAACACTGCTTGTGGGTGGCCCTTTGGAATGTCCTCCCAGTTGAAATTAGATTCTTCCTCATTCTTCCTTCCTCACTGCTTTCTGCAATCAGCTTATTATCAAGAACTGTTGCTATTTTTTTTTGTTGCCTTTTTGCAATCTCAGCTATCATTCCAAGAGGGTTATTCTGGAACAGATTTTGGAGCTCATAAGTAGATGTAGGGGAAGGAAGAATGAATAAAGATGTCCTTCCACATTTCATACAACTCCATATCCAATCAATGAAACAAACACAAGACAAAAGAAGTCGGATGTGGCTTTTGGAATATTATTTCCATAATAAGGTTTCACTGTTTTTTCCCCCAAACTGTCCCAACCTTTGGAAGGTTGAACACATTCAATTAAATTTCAACAGAAGAAAAGTTGGGTGTTTAAATATATAGATTGCAACTCTGTGAATAATACCACTATAGCTAAGTTGAATACTGTACTGCCTTGTTGGCCAAAACTCCATATCCTAGTATTTGAGGGGAAAAAAACATTATAGCATATTGAAGACATCAAGTAATTTGCAGATCTAATGATATTCAGATCACCCCTCTCTAATTTATTTTTGTGGAGCAAAAAAATTATGACTGTACAGAAAGGTATTTGGGGACAAGTAAGAACATGCTATTTCTGAATAGTGGCATCTGGGATTGATTTATTACAATTAGATTAATTTATTCATGCTTTTAATACAGTAATCTGCCTCCAAAAATGAAGGAGCATTTAATTGCAGAAATAAACCAATTATGTGTTTTAACATTACGGTTTTGAATGTTGTATTTTAAATTCTGGTTTTAGTTCTCTTATGGAGACCTTGGTGCTCTCTGAGTTTCGTTGCTTGCAGACCTTTCATTGCTTAACTAGGTGACATCATTAGTGCTAGTGAGGGTGGGATTTGCTGCTTAATTATCTTCATTAACTTGCAGAGCCACTTTGTTTTTTAAATAGACAATTAAAGATTTAAATCTTTTATATTAATATATTTATACTTAATATGTTTAATATAATAAATATTTAAATATTAAGTGTTTTAAATCAAGAATAAAATTTTATTAATACATAATTAATACATTAGAGCAGGGCTTTTTTTCTCATAGAACACCCAGAATGGAGTTCCGGCACCTTTTTTGGATGGAACCTTGTAGAGTGGGCAAGGCAGGTTGTATGACGTGTGTGAGTTCCGGCACCTTTTTTTTTTTAAGAAAAAAAGCACTGCATTAGAGATATGCTTATAACAGTGGTGGCGAACCTATGGCATGGGTGCCAGAGGCGGCACTCAGAGCCCTCTCTATGGGCACGCGCACCATCGCCCCAGTCCTAGGCCTTCAGCTGGATTTTATAAAACCTTTTCGCTTTAGGCCTCTGCCGCCATGTGGAAAAAAAAAGGTTCAATCAATCAGTCAATTTCAACTTCTTGCGGGGAAAAAAAAAGATCTTGCAAAGTTGGAACTGATTGATTGAACTTTTTAGTCCCACCCAGTCTGCCGTTACCACTGCAGCCACGCCCACCCAATGGGCCACACCCCCCCAATTGGCCACATCCAGCCAATGGTCCACACCCACCCAGCACCTGATGATGCATAAGTGGGTTTTGGGTTGCAGTTTGGGCACTCGGTCTCTAAAAGGTTCGCCATCACTGGCTTATAATATATTTCATACACATATGCCCATACATTTAACAATGCATAACTTCCAAAAGAAAAGTTCCATAGTGTATTTCTAGTTGTCATAGTTCAGGGGTGTTAAACTCGCCATGTCACGTGACATGTCACGACGTATAGCGACTTTTCCCCCTTGCCGGACCTGGGGTGGGCGCGGCTTCCATGTGACGCATTCAGCCCGTGGGCTGGCAGTTTGACACCCCTGGCATAGTTGATATAGCTTATAATTAATATTAAAAAAACATTTTGTGCTACAAGAAACATCCCACTTTCTAGCTATTCTCAGGGAGCCTACCCCCTAGCACATCCCAGTTTTTTTATTTGTGTTTGGATTTGTGCAAAATATGCTTTCCCCTACTTGTCTAAAGGCTGATTCTGTTCGTTCAAGCAATATACAGGAATAAATCTTGACTATTACACTGTTTTAGATCTGTTATCCAAATCACATTGGCCATTGTCTCCCATGGAGTTTATTATGTCATTCATTTCAATGAATTTAAGGCATGTAATTAAATATTTCAGTCCAAGGATTTATGAAACTCAAATTCTTATTAATAGTAGAATAAACAGTGTAACACTTTAAGGTGGTATGCTCTTTTGGAAACTCAGTTTTAATCAATGGCTCAAATCTCTGAAACAAATCACTGGTAATAAGTGAGCCTTGGTGGGCCTCTATCTTTCCAGAAATTCACACATACGGTCCCATCTTAAAACAGAAGCATATCATAGGTCTAAAAAATATGCGTGGCAGCAAATTTCCTATGATTTTGATGAGGACTACAACATTCAGAAAGAAAAAGCTGAGCAGTTTTTTGAAGATGCAGAGTTATATAAAAAATACAGGTCAGTTATTTATACTTGCATATAGTGAATTAATTTTATTCCTTTTATATCTTTTTATTATTACATTCTAAAAATTACACATAATACAATTATAAGGATACCATCTTTTAATAAGAGGGCATCAACTAAAAGAGTGTTTCTGATATAATTGTCCTTGTATCAAACCTGTTCAGATTATATTGAAGCAAAACTGTGTTCTAGGTTGATAATAATTTACTTAAAATTATAATGTCAGTTTGAAAATTAAATGCTTATTATAATGATTTCAGCTCTACAGGTAGTCCTTGACTTACAACCATTATTTAGTCAACATTCGAAGTTACAACGGCACTGGAAAAAGTGACTTATGACCAGTTTTCACACTTATAACCATTACAGAAACCCCAAGGTCACATGATCAAAATTTGAGCACTTGGCAACTGGCATGTATTTATGAGAATTGCACTATCCTGGGTCATAACAGTACCATTTGTAACCTTCTCAGCTGGCCTCTGATACAGCAAAGTCGATGTGGGAAGCCAGATTCACTTACTGACTACCTCATTTACTTAACAACTTAACAACTGCAGCAAAAAGATCATAAAATGGGGCAAAACTCACTTAACAACTGCCTTGGTTAGCAACGTAAATTTTAAGCTCAATTGTGGTCATAGGTTGAGGACTACTTGTACTCTGATGCAATTCTGTTTCAAAACTAAATCTTAATAAACAGTTAAGACATTCACTACATAATTAGAAATAGCTGAAAGTCTAGCACTTTATTCTACCATTACTCTGAGCAGATATTTACTAACCTCACAGATGACACTAAGTCAAATCTGAACACTTGAATTATTAGAATGCTGAGATACTGTAGAGATTAGTCCTTATATTTCTGGCAAGTGTTAAATCCAGCAAAAGAGAAAAACCCATCTCTCAACCCACTCCCTGTTTACTAAATGCAATGAGCAAGGGAATCAGTTTTATCTTTTTTTGAAGGTATCTCTGCAGGTATCTCAACTTCAGAGTCTTAATAATTAATAAGGTTCTGATGCGACTATGAAAAAGTGGACTTTGTAATATCTCAAAATGAAAAAAGCTCCTAAGATATAGTCCTGTAAAAGACAATAAGGAAAACAAAATTGCATAAAAATCTAATAATTATCTAAAGGAAGGATTAATATGTAATGTGATATAACCTCTTTAGAGTTCCATTATTTCATATTTCACAAGAGTTTGAGGAGGTCGTCTTTATTTTTTTGCCAGCTCACTGTCACATATCTTAGAGTTTTATTTACTTTTTTCTCAGTATAGTGTACTAGTGTAATTATTTTAAAAATCAATGCAAGCTACAAAGATTTTGCGCCTGTATCCAGATGTCTTTGTTTGTTGGCACATTTCATATATAGTAAATATGGTGGAACATAATATTACCCCCAGAAAGGTGGCATTTACTCCTGCCAGCTGTACATAAAACTGTTTTATAAGATTCAGTAAATTTATGCCTTTCTCAGGATCATATAGTTGGAAAGAGCCATTTGGATCATTCAGCTTGATGCAGAAATCCAAATTATAAAGAGATTTAGTCTGTCTCATTTTAGGCTTTTCATTCCACATCTTCATATAACCACCTATCCAGTTTTTCCCAACATCTGTGCCCAGTTCCTTTGAATTCTGACTCAGTTTTGATTTCATACATTTGCTGCTGTTAGCATATAATGTAGTATGCATGAGACATTCATTTTTGTTGGTCTTAGGCATCAGCCAAAATTGGCTGAAGAATTCCAGAAAGACCATCATCAACACTTCGAATTTAAAAATGGGAAGATCATCAATTGCAGTTTTCAAAATCTTGTACTGGGTGTGGAGAATACTGATCTTCATTCTGGTACTGAAGTGGTTTTGTTGGAAAAGAAGTGTGATGATGTCAAGCAACATTGGATATGGAAAGAGGAAAGCAGGTATATTTCTATGTATTAGAAATGAGATGGAACATCCAGCCTTACAGCATCCCCAGAAATACCTTCAGTCACATTTTCCATTTGACTTATTCTTGAGTAATACTCGTTGCATGTTTCTTCTTCAGTTTAATTCTGATGTCATCAGAAGTCTCTCAAAATGAAAGCTCAGATAAATGGATTTTAAAAAGCCACAATTATAATCAATAGTTGCCAAAGTCTCACATTTTCATTTTAAATAACTACTTTTTTGTCATAATTTTGGCAAAACCTCCTATTTACCTATACTATATTAATATACAGTTAGATATCTAGAATGACCATACATTTTTCCTTCTGTATCCTTCTGTCCAATGTCTGTCCTTTTCCTGTTGTCCCCTTGCATCGTTACAGATTAGGGACAAAGACTCCATTATGCTATTGTCATCCCTTCACTAATCTCTCTGGCAGATACAATAGATAGAATATAAACCTCCTGAGATGTATACAAAACATCCTGTGATAAAATGAAAATAAATTTATCTGTCATGATTTTAAAACATAATACTTCATTACTTCAGACTCAGACTTTTGTTGCTAGGTCCTTACATCTTGCAATTGATCCAGATCTAGTGCTCGCAGTATCAATGCCCACTGTACTGAATGGATGTCCAAAATTTCCACTGGAAATACAAGAGTGTCCTATTATCCTTCAGGTTAGTAGCATTACTATATATTGTCATCAAATATAGCAAATTATTATTTTAAATCCACAAGTTGCAATTCTATATCAACTATCTGTAAAAATAAAAATATTCCTATATTCTTATAATTCAGTAGCTGAGTTAAGCAACTTTGTCTCCCCCAGATGTTTTGCATTACAAAGTTACTAAACATAAAAATACCTGTTGCCTAAGTTGTTTACTTCTCTAATAAAGAGCATGTTTAATTATTCACATTACTCTGAGCTCAAATGAGAAATTAGTTTTAGTTTTCTTTTAACATTGTTATGAAGTCTTTGTATCCCTGCGGATTAGCTTCTATAACTTCAACTTGCTATCAAGTTGGAGCTCCAGATTGAGGCATGTGGCACCCCCCTCCCCAGCCTCCATTTCACCATCAGAGGCCTTCAGGAAAGGTCTCTGCAGCCAAGAACCGAGCTCTGGATTGATGCTATGGAGGCTGGGGGGGGGTGCTGTGCATGTCAATCCGGAGCTCGATTCTCGGCTGCAGAGGTCTTTCGTGAAGGCCTCTGATGGCAAAATGGAGGCTAGGGGTGATCAGCCACAGAACAAGTGGGCTGGCTGGGCAGGACTGTGAGGTGAGACAGGGGAAAAGACATCCCCCGAAAGTAAGACCTGGTGCCTCTTTTGGAGGCAAAAAAAAAAAAAAAAGACCAGATCTCATTTTCGGAGAAATGCAGTAGCAACACAGAATGAACAAAATACATTCAATGTGTTATCAGATATCTGTAGAGGTTAAAAATTTCCAAAGTCTAGACTCATTGTGTAATCTATTGAAGTGGTCTTTATAGTATTCACTAGATATAACTACTGTATATCATGTTTATCTGTCTCTCATCAAAGTATACGACAAAATTCATATAAACTGACACCTAATACAGGGGTCGCCAACCCGACCCGGATCAGGCCATGCAGGTGAGCCAAACCCCATCCACACACATGTGGGATAAAGGCAGTGTGCAAACCCATGCCGGTCTCTGTTGCCCAAAAGGTTGGAGGCCACTCAGAAATGGGATTCAGATATGTGAATAACCGGTTCCCTGTGTGGATACCGCTTCTGGAAGTCCATTCTAGGCCTGGGCAACAAAAAATTAGCTACTGGTTCTGCCGAAGTGGTGTGAACTGGCTGAATCCCACCACTGAGGCCACTGATCTAATACTGGTTTCATATTCTAGTCCTGTAATTCAGTACTGATAGAGGATAAAATATAGATGGGAAGAAACATATACCTAACAGAGGTGTGTCTATGAATCACTTTTTTCTCTGCTTATCATCTCTGATACTTTAGGCTGTAGGCATAATGGATCCAGAGATGATGGAACAGTACTTGGCATGTTTTGTTTTCCCCTTTTCCTAGACATATACTACAAATTTTATTCTGAAAGTTTAGGGGATTCTTCATATAATTTTTTTAAAATATCATCTGGTTGTGATTGCTTTCTTGATGGGCTTGTTTTATGCAGAGTTTGAAGTTGATGATTTGGAGAAGTGGGAAAAAGTGATATGGCAGATGTTTTTCTTATAATTGGAGTTATTCCATGCCTGGTTCCTTAGAGCTGAAGGTTAAATAAATTGGGTTAACTGTAATTCAAATAGATGGTAGAGAGTACAGAACAGGATTTTTTTCAGTTATTAATAATGGCTTCATCGTGAGCACTCCATTTGTTTTCACTTGAGATACAAATTTAATGAATAAATGTAGTATACCAGAAAGAGAAATGAAAGAGTAATTCCATTCCACAAGTAGATTGCTGCACCAGGTAGCCCAATATAAGTAAATTGTTGCTAAAGGAGTGTCTTAGTCTTATAACACGTTGCAGAGGAATCCGTCCAGAAAGGTTTAATTAATGCTCTCTCTCTCTCTTCTAAAAACAGTGTTAGTGATCTGTTTGTTTTGTAAAATTGGTCTGCTGGGCTGGGCTTTAGAGAAATCTTAGCTTGGACCAGGATGAGTAATATATTCCTCTGTGCTAGCTGCTACCAACATCAAAAAGCAAGATACCTGGCAGCACTCATGTAGGCAATATCATTGTGTTAAATGACCCATGGTTTAATGTGTATTTCATTGTATTAGCCTTACTTTCTGGTAGTCCCAGAAGAAGAGCAATGAAAAAGCAATGGAAGATGCTGGTTTTTTTTTAGAAAAAATATTTTATTAAGAATGTTAATGACAGTAGTAAAAACTAATGGAAACTAAATTTAGAGAAAGAAAAGAGAATGAAAAAAAGAATAGAAAATATGTGAAAAAAGAAAAAGAAAGAAGAAAAAGAATATAATAATTTTTTAAAAAAGAAATATGTAATCTCTACTATAACTCATTCCTTATTTATAAGCAAATCTATAAAACATCAAATTTCAATCCTGGGGTCATCAAAAAGTCCATAAAGAGATGCCAGAATATTGCAAAAATATAAAGTCCTATTTTAACCTTGATAAACTAAACCAACATCATATTCCTTCCTTTTACTTTTAACAGTCTAAAAATCTTTAATTCAATCAAATACAGTCATAGGATTACATTTCTCTTCAGTTCTTCTTTAGCCCAAATTTCTTGAAGGTTTTAACAAGCTTCTTTTATAGATCCAATAAGAAAATATTTTCCAGGTCATTCTCTTGGTTTGTCATTTGTATTTCCCTTTTAATTTTTGAAACTTCACCCAGTTTCTTTTGTATATCTAGTAAAGCATCCTTTCCCAAATTATTCCCTTGTTATTTGCATTTGTAATCCCACATTTTGCATTTCTTCTATCTGTCAGATAAAAGTTGTTCTACATCTGTCATTCCTTTATTAACTACTTTTAGACAGAGTTCATCTATAAAACTAGACATCATTACTGATAGTGTTGATATTGTAGTTATTATCTTCTGGCTCCATTCTTCAAAACATTTCCTTTAATATTTCTGATGTTGTGACATTTTGTGTCATTTTGTAAATACCAATAATAGCATTTTTTAAGTTTTGTTTAAAATCTTTAGTCCCTTCTAGTGTCCCATTTCTAAAATCATCACTTATATTTCATTATGACTTACAATAACCAGAACAGCCAACATAAATCTGTTTGCAATAAGAAGTTTATTTTTGTAATTGTCCACAGTCTTATTATAGTAAAAGTCAACATTCCAAATTTATCTGAACCCTTAACCTATTTATAACTTTATTAGATCAAAATCCCATCTACCTGTTGTTCACTGTTTATTTCAATTTTTTAAAAGTTCTTAAGCTTGTAATTTATTTGTACAAATTTTATATGCTAATATTGTTAAGTACCAGAAGCATACTAAAAAGATAAAGGGGTATATTGTCTGATTACCTATGTTATTTTAATTTTAAAATTGTAATTAAGAGTCAATTATCAGCTGAAAATTATTGAAAATGAAAGGCAGGACAAATATTTTATATTTTGACAGAAATACAAGCCACATAATTATGGAGCTGCCAACCAAAAATGGAATTTCACAGAAACAAAAGTTTTTAGTGCCTTTTATAGCACAACATTGGATCTAGAAATTACGGCAGCAAACTATGCTTCTATTTGCACATTTACCATAACCAAGACAGAAAAAATTGACCAACCAGTAAGTAAAGAGAAAGAAAAGAAAAATGTAACTCCACTATGATGGGTAATAAAGACATAACTTAACTTATGAAGTATTTTAATATTCTTTTAAAAGTTCTTTCAAAAGTAGCATGATTCATGCCCATTTGTTTATAATGATGAAACATTAATTATAGTCCATTCTAGTTCTACATCAGGGGTCTTCAAACTCGGCCCTTTTATGACTCATGGACTTCAACTCCCAGAATTCCTCAGCCAGGCACGCTGGCTGAAGAATTCTGGGAGTTGAAGTCCATGAGCCATAAAAGGGTTGAGTTTGAAGACCCCTGTTCTACATTAATCTGCTTTTCTTTAAAAGCATAAAAATGTTTAAACAGAAATTCAAATGTAAAATGCCCCTTGAAAGCTTTTTAAAACAAAGCAGTCATTTCTAAAAATTCTTTTAAAATTCACTTTTGTGAATTTTAATCTTCTAATATACCTTTTAAGATGCATTATATATTTTAACCAAAAAGACAACACAAAATTCAAAGAAGTGGATTGTTATATTTTCCAATTAAGCTAAGATGGAAATCCAAAAGTTACAGTATCTTTTGTTTCAAAACTATGCAGTTTAAAAATAAACGTTCTAGTATCAACTCAGATTATAGAATTTTACTGATAAATATACACACAATTAAAAAGGGGAAATTGTGAATACTAAATCTGAAATATTTCATATTTAAATAACTACGCAAAAAATAGAAAAATTGTTCTGCAGTATTTAATTTAAAATATTTTGACTATTTTTTTAAAAACAACAACAACAGGGCTACTATTTTCTTTCACCTTGTGGAAAGAAAAAAATAATGATATGTTTGGCTTGTGGAAGGACCCTGAGAGGAAAGAAAGAACTGAAGAAATTGCTCCCTGGGACTATATTTTCCTGTGCCTCTGGGTTCCAGGACAGAAATAATTTACCCTTTTGCCCTTTTAAATGCCTTGATGTTAATAAGGTGAGTTAAGCTTTTCACATATGTACACTGGAGATAAACAAATAACTTGCCATATTATAACTTTATCTTTTAGATGGTTTGTAAATAGTGAAGTATTTGTATTTGAACAACATTATAAAAAAATAAAATTAAATACCATTTCTTTCTGGCTTTAGTAGTGACTATTTGCTTTAGGCTAGGTTTGAATCCAAACCATCATCACAAATTTTGTCTTTATTTTTTTTAAAAAAAGATAATGCTATTTATGCTAGAGAACATGTTGATTTTAAGCAGTATTTTAAAGATTTTAGTGCTGAACTCTGATTTTGAAAATGCTGAAATGAGTTGAAATCATGCTTGGATTAATTCTTACCTTAACCTTAATCATAATAATTGTGAGGCAGGCCACAATTGTTCTCAATTCCACCTGTGAATTGAGAACAATTGTGGCCTGCCTTACAATTATTATGAATTAATCTTCATGTAGACGAACAGGAAGTGTGACTAATTATCTTTTATCTTGTACTTACATATATATCTGTTAAATGACTGTCATTTATTGTAGCATGATTCAGAAGGGAACTGAGTTAAGCAAAAAATAACCTCTCCCCCTGCAGCTTACCATTCCATTATTTTTTTTAAAAAAGACCTATAGTTAAGAGTATAACCCCTTGGGATGCAGAAAATCCTGATTGCCACTACAGTAGATACTATTATAGTAGCTACAAACATAGTCCATTCAGCAGCTATAAGAAATAATCGAACTTGGATATAATTACATACCTTGAGAAATTGCCATGGGTATATTCACTAGGTACATGGTAGAAAAGTCAGCAGTTTTTTTCTAGCTGTACGTTTTATTTGGGAAAGAAGGATTTGAAATCCGAGTACTATAATGTAGAAGCAATTTTCTTTTGAAAAGGATTGTGTAAAAGATTTGAGTGGGTGGGTAATCTTAAACATCTGGGGAGATTAGCAATTAACATTAGTTCAGGAGTTTCTATTCAATTAAAAAAAAGCAGTCCATTCACTTCCTGTTTTACTTAATGGCATTTGAGAAAATAGCAGCTAAAAATTGATTTTCTACTACTTTCTTTGATGCATATAGTATGTCTTAACTTGTATGATTTAGTTATATCATTTTTTGCAGTAATCTATCATGTAGTTATGCATCAAGGGTGGTTAAACTAACCATTTTAAATATATAACTTCTGGCAATGTTTTTATAAAAATTCAATTCTGAATCCTCTGTAATTGGTATGTGTGTAAAGGGATATTTGCCTAGTTTTATTTTTTGTCTATCTTGTATTTTCTCCACTTTGTCATAAAAGTATAATGTTTGAAATTCAAATTTACATTTTTATTCAATTTGGTTACCTTTTAAAAAGTAACTTCACTAAGATTACGATAAAACTGAAGTAAGGCTAACATTTTGTTTTGTTTTATCGTGGAGATTGATTTATTCTCTGACAAAGCTGAATCCACCCTGCATTATTTCGAAGAAGTTCTAGCATCCTTAAAGAATGAAACCTCCTTGCAAGTCATCTCAGAAAAGATATCTGCAGCTCTAGACCAAAAAACAGTGAAAATAATTGCATACAAAAATGGAAATGGATACCAAAATGGGCAACTAATTGTTGCTCACACATTCCCGAGGGTAAGTAACAATAACCCAAAGAGGGAATTGTAATTGAATTGATGAGGACAAACGGTATGTCTGAGAGAGTAAGATTTAAAAAGTATATTACCAGTTTGTACATGCTGGGGGCGGGGGGCGGGATTCTAATGCTGTAAATCTACAAGTGTCTGCCTGGAGATGTCAGGTCAAACCAGGGTATGGAAGAACTACTATGGATCTCTAGCATAACCAAACAGCATTGGAGGAAGGAAGAGCTGTCTCATTGCAGGTAACACATTAAAAGTAATATTTCTACAATTTACTAAGAGTTAATAATCTCACGTTTGTACATTTACCCTCTCTTGTTTCCAAATGTTTCCCCGAATAGCAATAGAGGACTTGTTTCTCTTGATGAAAAAAAAGGTGTTGAAGGCTTCTGATATTACTTGAATGTATAAATTTAATTATAAATATGCAGAGTGATCACCTCGTGAAGCTGCAAGCATTTGCAGGCAGTACATGTCTTGAAAACCAGAGATTTATACGTTAAGTGGGAAATCCAGTGAAGATTTAGGAAAGGAAAATTATATTAGGGGCTATTTAGTCATGCAAACAAAATTGATATAAGGTCTCCAGAATCTTAAAGGAAGAGTGGAATGCAAATGTAATATAGCAACCTTGTTAGAACAATATCAAAATGAGAATTACAATATGATAATTTATTTTTGTATGTTGTTAATTATGTGTTTGAAATATATACATATACACACATATATTTTCCTTTATGTAGTTGCTTTCATTATGTACAAGACGTCTTGAACTTAGTAGGACAGCTTGCAAGCTATATAACAGTGAAGGGACCCTGATCCTGACAGTGCAGGATTTAGTCTTGTGTGCAGCAAATGATTACCTCAAAAAGCAAGAAACTGAAGAAAGAAATGAAGAAGCCATTTCTGATACTGGCCTTAAACAAATTGCATCTGTGTTTTCAAGGAAAGGTAAAATGTGACTTTCCATATCTTGCCTATTAAAAGTATCTGCAATCAGTAATTAACCAGCAAAATGAATCCTTTTTGGAAAAAAAAATATATGGAACAGTTTTCTGACATGCTGCCCAAAAGTCTCTGATGTTGTTTTATTTATTTATCTTGCCTATTAAAAGTATCTGCAATCGGTAATTAACCAGCAAAATGAATCCTTTTTGGGGGAAAAATATATGGAACAGTTTTCTGACATCCTGCCCAAAAGTCTCTGATGTTTTATTTATTTATTTATTTTTAAAAACCTCATTGTTAGTTTGCTTTGGTTTAGTTTTAGATGTTTATAAGTTTGCCATTTTTACCTTACTTTTCACAGTGCATCTTTAGTCTTTTATTTCAGAAGTATTGTGCACAGTTTTGAGAGCATTTAGCAAAAAGGACAGTGTATGCAAATAAAAGGTTTGTCTATATTTCAGCTTATGTATAAGCAGACTTTGACTTGATTCTTTGAAGTGTATCTTGAATAGATGTGTGGGCTCTTTACTTGCTCAGAGCCCTGTTAAAGAATCCTCTAGAGCAGGGGTGTCAAACTTGCAATGTCACATGACGTGTCGCAACGTATCGTGACTTTTTTGCCATTGCCGGCAATAGGGTGGGCACGGTTTCACTAAGATGCATCTGGCCCGTGGGCCAGCAGTTTGACACCCCTGCCTCTACAGCAAAATGATATTGGTGTGGGAGGTGGGTGAGTTTGCTGTTTTATTTACTCTGATTTTATTTTGTTGGTTTAAGCAAATAACTCATTTAACTCCATATTCTGTATACGCTGGTGGTCAATCATATGCATTCATAAAGCTCATAAAGACAGACAGGAGAAGTCCAAGATGTTGTAGTCTTTTTTCATGGAAAATATTATAAACCTCTAATCATTTTGAGTGACCTTTTCTGTACCTTCTCCACTTCTTTGCAGTTACATCATTTTTGAAATGTGGTGGCATTACTTAACCGGTAGTTTTATTTTAAATTCTCTTCCTAATTATCCTAAGCATGGAATTTGCCCTTTTATAACAGCTACATAACTGAACTGTCCACAAAAATGCCAAGATTCTTTTTTGAACCAATCCAGGTCTCGCTAATGTTTATGTGAAGTTCTGCTTGTTTTGTACCAATGCACATCATCTTTTATTGAAAGAGATTTGCCATTTGAAACCCACTTAGAGATCATTTTGAAGGTCTTTGCAATCCATTTTAAAAATTGTATTACCTTGACAATTTGATGACATCAGTAAATTGGAAAACCTTACCCCTAAATCCAGATTGTTTATTAATCAATTAAAAGTATCACTCTTTTTACTTAAATTAATCTGTAGCACACTTTGCTTTAAATATCTCTCCTGTTTAAAAATTATTCAATTATTCATCTTTTTTTTCTTAATCATTAGCCAGTTACCAGTCCATGACATGACAAGTGCTCGTCCTCTAAGTTGATTTTAAAAAATGGTGAGGTAGTTTGTGAAAAGCTTTTTGAAGTAGAGTTTTTAGATTTAAAAAATGTGGAAGATTACTGAAACAAAATGCATATCAACATCTAGCTCAAGAATTTCAAATAAAACTCCAGGTTCATTCCATCTCTGAAAATCTTACTGTTTATTAGATATACTGCATGGTAACGTCAAAGTAAAACTAAATCTGATGCTCCAACAACAAATCATACACTTAAACAATCATTTTCCCAGCCAAACCCCCAGCGTCCCCCATAGTCCATATAACAAGTTCACTTTTTTATGGGAAACATCTGCTTCAAATCCACACCTGTTATGGTGTCCTTCAAAAGGTTTCAGGCTCTCAAGGTCTTCAACAGTATCTTGAAGTTTTGTTTCTCCATCTAACCCACTCAAAAGTAACACCTCCCCTCCTTATTGTAAAGGCAAGTTGAAACGTAGAGGCACGTAGCTGCCAAAGTTTTGTCCTTGACAATGTATTGTTGCAGAAATCTTATTAGTATCCTTTCAAAAAGGTATTTGTATGTTTGATCATATTCTTTAATAAAACATTGTACTATTTAACTCAGAGTGGACATTAAAGTAATGGGACATAAATTCCTATGTATTATAGAACTTGAAGCAACTGTAGTTACTTGTAGTTTTCAGATACACTCAGAAACAGATTCTGGTTTTAAAACTAAGTTGCATATTTTTCTTGGAAGCAATTTCACATTTATAATCATCAGATGTATACCATCTGGGCCCAGCTATTTGTTTATTTTTAATTCATCCATTTCTTACTCTTGCTCCTTCTGTCTGTTCATTCTAACCCTTCTTGAAAAAAGAGCTAAGGCATATCAATGAAGACAGAAGCAACAAATTAAGTTTTTCTGCCGTTTTCCTTTCCTTTATGTCAACCAGCACCTTTTTCCACTGCTTTATGTGAGGGTGCTCTTTCTGTTTTTTTTTAAACTTGAGTGAGACCATCTTGCTATCATTTTTGCTATATTGCTAGCATTTCTTTATGCAGACTTAACAAAAGAGCTTTAAGAGCTCTTTATAATAGAGAAACTTCCTGACAGTGAGAACAATTAACCAGTGGAACAACCTGCCTCCAGAAGCGGTGAATGCTCCAACACTGGAAGTTTTTAAGAAGAGACTGGACAGCCATTTGTCCAAAATGGTATAGGGTTTCCTGCCTGAGCAGCGGGTTGGACTAGATGACCTTCAAGGTCCCTTCCAACTTTACTATTATTATTATTATTTAACAGCAGATTCAATGTCTACAGAGGCCTTTATCTGGACTGACAGCTACTGCTTAATTCAGTTTCTGCAGCACTCCTCAGATTATCAATTCAGACTAATTCCATATCCTCTCATGCAATACATTGATCCTGGAGGTGATATGTTATTCCCATCTCAACAGAATGTTTTTGGCTCCTATTTTTTTCTGGCCATTTCCACTATGTTAGAACATTTTCTCAACACTCTAGATCAATGTTTCTCAACCTTGGCAATTTTACGATGTGTGGACTTCAACTCCCAGAATTCTCCAGCTAGCGTTGCTAGCTGGAGAATTTTGGGAGTTGAAGTCCACACATCATAAAGTTGCCAAGGTTGAGAAACACTGAAAGATGTTAACAAGATCTTGGCCATGCACATTGCTGTAACAGCCTTGATTAATCAAGATGTATATGGAAGAAGGGCTTTCTGCCAAAGATATTTCTCAGCAATAGCAGTGTGCCAAAGTGGATTCTGTATACACAGAAAACTGTTTCTGCGTATATACAAATATGTAGTTGACAATTTGGAAAACCACAATTACAGATTAACAGCCTGTAGTAGAAGATGAAGATCAGTTAGTTGCTAATATGTATAGATTGTCTGAATACTCTTAATTGTAGGGCAACAGATAAATTCTGAAAAAGAATTATTCTCTCTCTCTTTCATCTATTGTAGGGAATCATACTTGCAACAAGTATTGAAGTTCACAGTTGCACCGTTTATTTTTAATGGAGAAACACACATATTTATAACAATGGAGAAAAGCAGCTTTGTTAATTTGTCAAATTTTTGAAACATATCGATTATTGTAGTTGTTATAATACTCCTAAGAGGGGGTGAAGGGGTGCTGGGAAGTTAAGTGTTTAGCCAAACAAACAATATAACTGGACAATGCTTTAAGGTTCCACTAAGGAGAAATTTCCTGACAGTGAGAACAATTAAGTGGAGTGAATGCTACAACACTGGAAGTTTTAAAGAAGAGATTGGAAAACCATTTGTCTGAAATGGTATAGGGTTTTCTGCCTGAGCATGGGGTTGGACTAGAAGACCTCCAAGGTCCCTTCCAACTCGGTTATTCTGTTCTGTTCTTTGTTTGGACAATGCTGAAGCACTCTGTGAAGGTGCTTAGAATGAAATATTGCAACCTAGAGCAATGAAATAGTGCAAGAAGCTTGTTGGATAAGAAACGAAACATTTTCTTCTTCCTCAAGGAAAAAATAGTCCAGTTGCCTTTTGAAGAAGAAAAAAAGCACCTTTGAGACTTTAGCTAATCAGGATCGAAATACTAGCTGTCGGCGAGTTAGCCTGCAATGCTGCATTCTAACTACTACACCACCACTGCTCCTAATTCCTTAGCAAAAAATGTTTTAGTGTTTAAATGCCTAGTGTTGTTGGAAACTCAGTATATTTTTGGGTGTATATGTTTAATGCCAAAATGGCATGGTCATAGACAACCAGAATTTGATATGCTCATCCCAGATGGGCAGACTTTGGGTGTCCCATGCACTTATGAGAAGAAGGGGATGGGTTCCCTAAAGTAGTTCTTCTCCATAGTAGCCCTCACATCATAGAATAGTCTCCCCCCCCCCCCCCAGATTCATATTGTTCCCACATTGGAATCTTTCGTGAAGACTTTGAAGATGGAACTCTTCCTCTGGCTATTTGACACCTAATAATGTTATTAATAATTTGGGTACTGCCATGGATTTGGTAGTGCATTTTACCTATATTTTATGTGTTTTTTTAAAATTTCGGCATGTGGTTATACATTGCAAAACTTTGAAAGTCAACTTGATGCCAGCAGTAAATAAATTCAATAAGTATAGAATTAGAAAATTGCACACTTTAAGAAAACTGTAAAGTAAAACAGAATTCTCATGAAATCTTTCTTTCTCTCTTTACACCAAGATAAGAATAAGAACATCAACTTTACATCATCAGAGATAACATCAGATATTGATCATTTGGTGCTCAGCAGCATTCTTAGAAATCCAGTTGAGGTCTGGGTTTCCAGTGGAGAACCTTTTCTACCTTTGGATAGTAAGTCATTAAACAAAAAAGGAAATGTTATAAGAGCCTGACATTTCTATCTGTTTTCCTCTAAATGGCTGATATCCTGCCCGTCAAATTACACATTCATTTTCATAATTCAGTGAAGAACGTAAATGTCCAAAAACATAAATGTGTATATAATTCATCTCTAGAGTATAGAAACAAAATACTAAATATACTTTGCAAAATAATAGATTATTATCAATGGAAAAATTACAGAATATTTTTATTTATTTTTGTCATCTCATTCCTGAACATTCTTCAACTATTTACCATATTTATTCAATAGGTGGAAGATGAGTATGGATTTAAGACAAATCCCATACTAAAAAGGAACTTAGGCAGAAAAGAATTTATGAAACACAAAAAGTTAGGTTACTACCCAGCTTCTCTACCTTGCTCACAAGAATGCTAAATCTCAGTTGAAGATTTTCTTAAATATGTATCTGTGATATGAATAAGTAGCATTTTATGTGGTATATGCACATACATATATGTACACATGAACAGACACATGTATACATACACATACATATACATCATACACAGTCAAGAAGCATCACAAAAAGACAGCTTAGACAAAAAGATACTATTAAATTAATAAGTACTAATTCAACTTAATTAGCTATTCACACAAAAACTATCAACTATTGATTTATATATGTATGCTGAAATATACAGACTTAGATTCTGCAGAAATTTGAGCTCTGCAAACATAAACCTATAAATTCTGATTCTTTAGGATTGAATCAGTTTTACTGTCACCTGTAAATATGTGCTGCTATAATGGAGCATGTAAATTGCTTTGGACACTAGGAAAGATAACTTTCCCTCCCTTGTTTTTATACACATGTGTGTATGTGAAAGATCCAATCATCTTTCCAGACCTTTAGATGCAAAATCATTTTTTGGGGGGGAAAACTGTACCAAAAACTATATATTTTTCATTACAGCTTTGCAAAACACAGAAAGGCAAATAAAACAGAAATGGCTAGAAAAAGATAAAATTCTGGCAGACCTTAACGCAATGAAACACAAAATGAGACAACTGCAAGGTCAGTATAGTGAAAGTTGATTTCATTGTAATTACATTATTTTTAATAGTATAATATCAACATGAGACAACAACTTTTAATATTAGTCCACGTATCAAAAACTTCTTGTTGACATTTTTCAAGCTGACATACTTTGTAATAAAGATACCGATGTTCTCAGTTTATGGTATTATATTAACATTAATGAAAACTCACCCTTCTCTCAGTTTATGGCATTATATTAATGTTATTGAAAACACATCCTTCCTTCTGTTACACAAGGACTATCCAGCATGACTGGTATGCAAGGTTTTTTAACTAATAATTTTTGAGCTCCACATCTCAGAGCAAATATGGACTTCAAAATTGCAACCACAGATCCTACAGAGAACAGCTTTAGATTTTATTAAGGAATAATACAATGCAATCATGTTAATGTGAAAATTGTAATTATTGGATTATTGCCATTTGTTCCACTGAATTAAAATTCTTTCCCATTTTTTAAAAAGGTACTCTAAAACAATTCTTATTTTAGGTCGTCGTATAACAAAATATAAAGCTGCTGATTTGGTGCCCACTAAGAGCCCTTTCCAACCTGTGGTAGTAGAAGGAGGCTGGACAGAAGAAACTCAAGAAGAGATGAAGCTCATGGAAACTATACAACATACAGAGGTGTGAATGTATACTTTGTGCTACTTGATTTCCTGAAAAATGAACTCTTTAGATCTAAATGCATTAGAAAAATATTTGTGACCTGCTTACCCAAGAAATTGTCTGAACTATGACTTCCTTGTCATAGTGAGAGAGAGAGATATGATTAATTTACATTATGTAGGATTGATCTTGGAAGCAACATGTATTCTTTTTTCTTGTTTCTTATCTAAACATTTTAGCTACATGTTTCACATTCCCGTAATCCACATATTATTCTTGAGAAAAAGGAATGTGGTAGTCCCTCCCCCGAGACTGCAGTTTTCTCATCTTGAAATAAATTTTAGTTTATAAATGAAAGCACTGTGTTTCAAACAACTGTTTTCATTAAATCTTTAATAAATAATCACTATGAAGGAATTGGGAAAAGAGCTGTACAGTATGTTGTATTTTTAGAAGCACTGTAAAGTATAGAACTATAAATATAACTTCTTATAAACTCTGTTTAATAAGAATCTTTTGGGTCAATAAGCATATTTGAAAGTTGTGGGTGGTCTCACAAAATGATTGCATGAAGGAGGCTGTCATTGTGGGCATGACCAGTTACCAAACATGAGTTGCTCCTTGTCATATTTTCTTATTCCCAGGCAGTTCTTGCCAAATAGGGGGACATATATCCAAATAGATCACAATCATGGACAAGGTTGGGCTAGATACTGCCCTCCCCCTCACTTACAAGTGTGAGAGGTCTGAAGACGAGGATCCAGATTTTGTTGAGCTATCAGATTCAAAAGAGCTTAATATTTAATGTTCAAACAAGTTTAAACATTAGGCTGCTAATAATCTCTAATCAACTGTATAAATACACAGTATCAAAGTAACATAATAAGTGATGGCGAACCTTTTACAGACCGAGTGCCCAAACTGCAACTCAAAACCCACTTATGTATCATCGGGTGCTGGGTGGGCTTGGCCAATTGGGTGGGCATGGCTGCGGTGGTAACGGCAGACTGGGTGGGGCTAAAATGTTCAGTCAATGAATTCCAACTTTGCAAGATCTTTTTTTCCCCGCAAGAAGTTGAAATTGATTGATTGAACCTTTTTTTTTTTTGCACATGGCGGCAGAGGCCTAAAGTGAAAATGTTTTTAAAAACCCAGCTGAAGGCTGGAGCAATGGCGCACATGCCCACAGAGAGGGCTTTGCATGCCACCTGTGGCACGCGTGCCATAGGTTCGCCACCACGGCACTAGATGCTCTAAAGAATGTATAGGACAGCTCTAATGAGCCATTGTTTACTGGAACCACCAAATGTGCACATCATATAAGCTTCCATACTTTGATGTCTATGGGAGAGCAAGGGTGATATACATAATGCATACATATGTTATGGTGTCATGATGAAAACCCCACCCTTTTTGTATTTGCGTTGCATTGTTGCAGGCACACATTTTGCCACCTGGATGAAATCTTGGTTTGCTGCAGATGTCATGACTCCAGTTTTTTTTCTCTGACCCACATTTGTCTTCAGATCTTCACATGGAAGATTCAATTTCTGTTTGGCTTCAGTGAATAAAAAGTGTTCAGGACAACCTCCCACCCAAAAATTGAGATAATGCCTTAAACCAGTGGTAGCAAACTTCTATGACACGCGTGCCAGAGGTGGCACTCAGAGCCCTCTCTGTGGGCATGCGTGCCATGCCCCGGAGATGGCAACTGTCCCTCTTCAACCAGCCACCTGCTAACTCGCCGAGGTCCCACATGGCCGGATGCATCCCAGCATGGCTGGTTTCCCTCCCTCCCCTCCCGTCCCTCCTGGTCTCACATGCTCTCCTTTTCCTGGGCACGACCCACTGCATCGCTTCCTCAACTGTTAGCCAGCCATCCAGCTCAGAGGCTGCTTCTTTGAACTGCTGGTGGTGGGCTGCGGAGCCCCAGAGTTTGCCAGTTGAGGGGCCGGCAGGCTGTGGCTGCTGACGGACACCATCGGCCCCCATGCACTCGCTGGCCTCTGTGTGCGGGGGTCAATGGTGTCAGGCAGCAGCTGCCCCAGCCCTTGCCTTGCCCCATGGCAATGGCACCCCCACCCTGCCTCACCTCACCCCGCAGGATGAGCCTCCTGCCCATCGCCCCACCTGCCAGAGACCCCCTGGATCATCCCCAGCCCTGCCCATTCCCCACAGGCATACCTCCCCACGAGCAACACCTTGGCCACACCCACCCAATCTACCATGACCACCACAGTCACGCCCACCCAATGGCACCCGGCAATAAATAAGTGGGTTTTGGGTTGCAGTTTGGGCACTCGGTCTCTAAAAGGTTTGCCATCACTTCCTTAAGCCATTGTTGCTTAAATAGAAGGATAAATATCAGTGTTCATAATTCTAATGTAACATATTTTTGTTGCATTATATACATTTCGTGTAGCTTTGCAAAATATAAACCACCATACAGAGTCAACCATTGATTCTAACTCCATGACTGTGATTATGTTTCACACTAGATGCACCTTTCAGAGCTTGAAGCACTGCAGTTCCAAAGAAGTTTTGCCTTTTCTCCTAAATTACTTGCCAAAAATGACAAGTGTCTCTACAAGCAGCCCACAACCAAAAGAGTCTGGGCTTACCCAAACGGAAATATACCTGACAAGGGAGCACATGTGTGGGGGAAATCTATGATAGAGGTAAAGCAGGAAACCTTTACTTTAAATGAATAAAGTAAGGAAATAAATATTGGGGATTGCTCCTTCACTGCTACATCATAGTAGTGAATATACATCAATTGCTTACAAGATAACTCTATCATGCTCACCATATCACTGTTTTTCTTTTATTATTATTATTATTATTATTATTATTATTATTATTATTATTATTATTATTATTATTATTATTATTATTATTATTATTATTATTATTATTATTATTATTATTATTATTTATTGAATTTATATACTGCCCTGTCTCCCTTACGGGACTCAGGGCGGTGAACAAGCGATAATAAAAACCACGATAAATATACACAAACAAAGGTTAAAACAAAGGTTGGAGATAGACGATGGATGCTTTTTTAAAAAAGTTTTTTATTTATAATACAGTTAAAACAAAAATGGACATAACGTGACATTCCAGAGTAAATATTCCTAACAATTTGTTCCTCTTAATACATATAATTCTTGATCTCTATATAAACATATTCTTTTATACAATACAGTTATACATACAGTTATATATATTTCTATCTTAACACTAACTTAAAACCCGAGCAGTTCTCCTTAATTCACACCAGTAATAAAATTTGTCCCAGATTTCAAAGTAATCTGATTCTGTCTTATCCTTCATTTCCATTGTGAACCTATCCATATCAGCACACTATAAAATTTTATATAAAATCTCTTCTTCTGTTGGGATTCCTTTATTCCTCCAGTTTTGAGCATACGCCAATCTAGCAATGTGAATGTGTAACATCAAATAAAATACCCCTTTGTTGTATTTCTGCGTGGTTATGCCTAGTAAGAAGAGTTCTGTTTTTAACTCTACCACTAACATTAATATTTCTTCCAGCCATTTTTTTATCTTATTACAAAAGTCACGGGCTTGTGGGCACTCCCACCACATATGGTAGTATGGTAGTATGTCCCTATTGCCAATTTACATTTCCAACACTTGGAAGAAACATTTGGATCCATTTTAGCTAATCTTGTGCGAGATGCCAGACGATGGATGCTTAAAAACAAATCTTCACTATTGATCATGCTGGCTAGACACTGAGCGATGCATTTCATCAACTTATGAAATTTCTGTGTTGATTTCTGTGCTTATACAATTATACAGGTAGTCCTCAACCTACAACCATTTGGTTAGCGAAGATCCATAGTTGCAATGGCACTGAAAAAATTGGTGTATGATCGAATGTCTATGGAGATTCTCAATCATCCAGATCATGATTGTTCCAAAGCACCTTTGGGTGATTGTGACCATTTTTCAGACTTACAACTATTGCAGCATCCCCATGGTCACGTGATTAAAATTCGGATGCTTGGCAACTAGCATGTATTTATGATGGTTGCTGTTTCCAAGGGTCAGGTGATCGCCTTTTTCGACCCTCTGACAAGCAAAGTCAATGGGGAAGCCAGATTCACTTTATGTGTCACTAACTTAACTGCAATGATTCACTTATCAACTGTGGCAAAAAAGGTCATAAAATGGGGCAAAACTCGTTTTGCATAGCAATGGCAATTTTGGGGTCAGTTGTGGTCATACATCGAGGACTACTTGTATAACTTGTATAAGTTGTATAACTGTAGACAAAAATTGTATAATTTTTGTACTTATGGACTATATACTGTACTTGAAGTTACTCTGTGTCAATTTAGATAATTTTCTGTATTTCTTACATTCCTCACATGTGTACAATCCGATTTCTCCTTAAAACAGGAATTTAAAAAAAATCAAACACTTGATCAGCCTTTGATCATATTGTATGAACAAAAGAGTAGTTTAAAGGGAATTAGGAGTAACAAATTAATTTTGATTGTGAAGAATTCCAGGTTAGTTGTTCCTTGCAGTATAAATTTCATGGCATGAGATTCTGACAGTAGACATGGAAGCTTTAATGACTTGCGAACAAGTACTGTTTGCACTTTTATATTTTAATCTGAAGCACTGCATGGTCCTAAAGTAAACAAACACACATATACACACTGATATGCATATACATAAGTGCTTATATTCTCATTTCTTTTTGATATAAGCAAAAGCATCACATTGCACCGGTGTCAGAAGCATCAAGACACTTTCAGGTTGAAAGGATTAGCCGGTGACATTACCATTGCCCGGGGGGACAACCAGTTGGGGGCTCCTGACAGGAGCTGGAGCAAAGAACGGGAGCTCACTCTACCCCACGGCAGCACTTGTGTCTCAAACACGGGCTTGCTAACCTCCAACCCAGCATCCTAACCATATGAGCCATTGTGCCCCTTTAAGCAAAAACATAATCTTATGCAAAGCAAAAGATTAATAAGTATTAAAGAGAAAAAATTAAAAGGAGATAAGAGAAAAGAAAACTATCCATGAACACCAACACCATTCATTATACTTCTCCGTCCTTGTTTGTGCAAGCACTCCCCTTTTTTTCTGTCAGGTTTACTATAATGTCCAAGTATAATATTGACAACTTTATACCAATGTATTTGTTTTTAACTTAGTTGTAAGTTATGGCTGAAAAAAAAAATCAACAATTGTGCAGCTAATTCCATATAAATGTTTTACAGCTGGGGTGTCTCTGCTTTGGCTGATAATTTGAAAACTGTACATTCTCACTTACTGTCAAAGAGACTTCTGAATAGTAATGCAGTTTTAATATTTCAGCTACTTGACAGTTGTACAACTCATCTAAAAATGTCTCAGCCTGCAAAAATATTATATACACCTGATGGACACCAGCTGCAATCATGGGAAGAAATAGAAAGAGACATGATTGTTTGTGTTTCGACAGGACATGCCTTTATGAGCCAAAAAGGTAGTTTACTTAAATATTAAAATGACCATTGGAATTTCTTGGCAATTTTCTACATAATTAAAGTGTCATAATCATGAGATGGCTTGTAATTTTTAAACGTGGGTTTGCATATCATATTTATGGGTAGGAATACTGCCCATAATGAGGTTTTTCTTCTCCTTCTGATCTAAGAGCCATGTCTGAATCTGGCTTGGCTTCTGGAAGTTTTAAGTGGAAGGTTTCTGAATAATGCTCAAGTTTACAGGAGACAAACAAATGTAGTTATAACTATATAAAACAGCCTTAAATTAAAATTAACTATACTTTTTCATGTTTTAAGACATAATTAGAGAAATCAGTTTCATTCCTGATATATACATTTTTTTTGTTTTTTCAGCTGTAAAGCATGAAATAGAAATTAGAGCTCATTATGCAAGAATTCGGAAGCAGCAAGGTCCGGAATCTACCAATATCGTTGTCTCACCATCAACAAGAGTTATAGACAAGGTTGTACCACATACAATTTTATGTGATTGTATTATGTACAATTGTATAACAGTAACCATCATCATCATCATCTCATCATCAGTGCTTTTTTTGTAAAAAAAAAAAAAAAAAAGTGCCAGAACTCACACATGTCATACAACCCGCCTTGCCTGCCCTACAAGGTTTCATCCAAAAAAGGTGCCGGAACCCCGTTCTGGGTGTTCTATGACAAAAAAGCCCTGATAATAATAATAATAATAATAACAATAACAATAACAATAACAATAATAATAATAATAATAATAATAATAATAATAATAATAATAATAATAATAATAATAATAATAATAATAATAAAAAATTACAAAAGGCGGCCTTACTAGGAACTGCTTCCATCCTGCAAGGATATCTGTAATACCATCAAACATCCACATCTGCCTATCCCAGGTCCTTTCGTAAGGACTCGATAGGTAGAAAAAATTGCCAAATCCAATCTGAATATCTGGCTGACTGTGTGATGATCAATAATAATAACAATAACAACAACAACAACAACAACAACAACAATAATAATAATAATAATAATAATAATAATAATAATAATAATAATAATAATAATAATAATAATAATAATAATGTTGGAAGGGACCTTGGAGGTCATCTAGTCCAACCCCTGCTCAGGCATATAATATTATAGCATATATTATATGCTATATCATTAGTTATAAATTATTTTTTCCTGCTGCTCTTGTGAGGTAAGATTTAACTGAGTTAGATGGCTTCTGTTAAGGCTCAGAATCCATAGCCATCATTATGAAAAGGAAACTTTTACTAAGAGCATTTCAGATTCAAATGTACCCTAACTTAATTCAGTATAACACTGATTTAAGCAAGGAATGCCTGGTGGTGGGGCTCCAAAGAAGATCCTTTTCTGCCCTGGACCTTGTCCTCTGGAACATCATCCCACCTGAGATTACACTGACTCCCATCCTGCTTACCTTCTGTAAGGCTTTGAAGACCTAGCCCTGTACCCGAGCCTGGGACCCCAGTGGGGCCATGCTATGATTCACCAGCTGTTTTATTTCTTGTTTTATTTGAGTATTGTATATCTTTTGTTTTAATGTCGTGAGCTGCATAGTATCAGGTACTTGAGATGTGTGGCCATATCAACTGAATAAATAAATGAAATGAATTTCCTTTAATTATTTTTATAATTCCTTCAGTAATATTTAACAATATGTAATACACTGAAATATGAGGAGATATGAGCTAGTGCCATTTCTGGATCCAGGCTTTTTGCAATTACCCATGGAAGCAGGTTTCGGGTGCTTTAAAAATAAATGGAAGTGTAAGAACCAGCACCAGAGCACAAAACCTATTTGTGCTCTGAAATTTTATTGGAATTATTTAATCCAGATTTTTTTTTCAACAAAACGCAGCATTTAGTTATGGACAATGCCTCACTAAAATGGTTTGAGTAGCTATACATTGTGCATCTACATGAACATCAAATATATTTTCCATGTTAATCATGTGCCTGTGATATATGCTGAGTATTTCCACATTTCTCACTCTCCATATGCTGCTGCAACTGTTTTGTTGAACCAAGAGACCAGTTAGATTAAATGCCTATACTGTGTGCATAAATTTAGAAGCAGGGAAAGCTTACTTATACTGAATATCCCATTAATTCTCCTGCTTGCCTCCTGTTGTAGAAAAGCCATAAAAGAAGCATCGCTTAGAACAGTTGCTGCAGGCAGCTCTGTGATGACCTGATTAAAGATTCCCATTATGTGTTTTGGGTGAGAGGGAAATCTCAGCAGGAGTGATTCAGCAGTAGAAACTTAATTTCTAGAATACCTTTAAGACATGCTTACGTATATGTATGTGCATACATACACACACATACACAGAGAGAGAGAGAGAGAGAGAGAGAGAGAGAAGAGATGATAGTAAATATAACTTCAGTCACTATAATGAAACCAGAAGAGACGTTTAAAGTTAACTGTTCCTAATCCGATGCCAGGAGATAGCAGGTTCATCAACGTATTTAGTTTGGTTCTTATTTTAAAAGAAAACTGATTATAAAGACAGAAACTCTTTGGACACAAAAAAAATCTCAGTTATTTGCTGTAACTATTTAATTTATAATAGATTTACAGTTAGTAACATAGCATAGCATAGCATAGCATAGCATATTTAGCATAGCATAGCATAGCATATTTAGCATAGTAACCTATGAGTAGCATAGCATATTTACAAATATTTATTTATTTATTTGTATCGCACCTTTATTATTTTTACAAATAATTCAAACCTTCTTCCCCCCATTTCCCTATAACAACAGCCTTGTGAGGGTTAGAGTTCAGAGAGAGAGAGGGACTAACTGGCCCAAAATCACCCAGCTGGCTTTCATGCTAAGGTGGGACTTGAACTCACAATCTCCCACTTTCTAGCCTGGTGCCTTAACTACTAGACCAAACTGGCTCTTTTTTAATTTTTATTCATTTCCTTCTTTGTAGTTAACTCTTACCCAAAAGTTAAATAATCTTTTGTCATAACTCTACACAGTATAAAATATATCTGAGCTTCAGTCTATAGCAGGGGTGTCAAACTGCCCGCCGGACGCATCATGCGGAAGCCGCGCCCACCCCATTGCCGGCAATGGCAAAACAGTCCCGATAAATCGCGCGATGTCACGTGACGTCGCAAGTTTGACATGTCTGGTCTATAGTATTCTTCTTTGAAAGGCATGTTACACTTGCTTTTCCAAAGGCTGAATAGTTTATCAATCACATAATCTAAATAATTTAAATAGATAGATAAGGGGCCAATTTAATGGTTTTGCTGCTCTGTGAGTCATAAATAAATATATTTTAGGATATCCTAACAGATATGAATAATGACTGATTCATAGAACCATTTTATATTCATTTTTAAAAAGCTCTGATAGATATTGGTAAAACAAATCACTAACTCTTTGAAAAATCTTGTAGGGGCAAATGAAGCATGAGTTTAATATTAAAAATTTGTGATATTTACATCACTGCTATATATACTCCTAACAAATTTGTTAAATTCCAAGATTATTTTGGAATTCAAAACTGGATTCTTGGACACTCAATTTACTTCGGAGCAGACATACTAGACTTGTAGATAAAGTTAAAGTTAAAGTTCAGATTAGTACTGTCAAATACATTGAATATCTATTTTTAACGATGCCCACAATTATGGAAAAAAAACCTTCTTTCTTTTGTATTTGTGTATGTGTGCCTTTTGGTCATTGTTGCCTTTTAGTGACTGCCTGGACAGTCCTTGCGGTATTCTTGGGAAGATATTTGAAGTGGTTTGCCATTAGAAAGTTTCCTTCTAATAGTCATCTAGTTCATCTCCTTGTACAAAGTGATTAGAAAAACTTTAAGATCCCTTCTCACCATTGTTTTAAAATTCTAGCAGAAATCTTGCTCATATTTAATTCCTCTGCCCTTTTGAAATATTTTGTCCTTCTCTAGGAACTCTAGCCATTAAGCTGTTGTGTAAAAATTACTAATAAAACAGATGAAAAGGGAATGGATCCATACTTTAGAGCTGAGATCCATATCTTTACCTGTCAGCTTCTCCAGTATCTCCTTGATTAGGGAAGGATGGATCAGGGGAAACAAATGGTTTTAAAATCAGAAAGAAATTTGAGAATAGCAAAGCTTTGTCTATTATTTAAACAGTCCAAGATAGCTTGGACTCCTTATATCTATTTCCCTTTTGCCCAAATAACAGGTTGAATTGTGAGGTGTTGGGTTTTTTTGCTTTTGTTTTTTACCACAGAATAAGAAGCACATATTCTGTGCTCAAGACCAATTGTGAAATAGCCAGTGTTAGATCGCGCAGGCAGTAAGACACGAGTCGAGTGACAGTCAGCTCTCGGTTTATTGGCAAGGCATCAAGTAAATCCGGACTGCTCTCTGGGCCAGGGGAGCCCTCTTTTATGGGATTCCCCTGGCTTGTAATCACACAATTCCATTGGCTGGCAAGACCCTGTTGCTAGTTAGCCAACCAGCAACGGGCATGAAAC